ATTGGAGGGGGCTATAAGGTATTGGAGGGGGCTATAAGGTATTGGAGGGGGCTATAAGGTATTGGAGGGGGCTATAAGATAAGTCGGGACTTATAAAAGTTTGGGGCTATGTAAGGTATAGAGAAGTTTTGAAGGTATAAGGAGGGAGCTTAAAGGTATGGAAGGGCTTATAAAATATTGGTAAAGGGCTGGAAGGGGTTATAAGGTATGAACACTTATTTGGTCAAATAGGGTAAGAGCCTTTTGAGCAGTATTAATAGCATGTATTCATTTTCTTTACACATGACTACAGGAGGCACTGGAGGAGAACGAGAATTCGCTTTTCATTCACATGTTTACTAAACATTACTTTTAAAATATCAAGGTCATGTATTGGTCACTTGCTGCAATCAGATTGACCTGTATAAACAGGTAGCAAGATAGATTAACCTGTAAAATTAAACAGGTAGCAAGGATTTATTTACCTGTAATTAGAAAATGAATAAAACGGCTGCCTGTCTGTATAGCCATGTTTTAAAAATATTTGAAATATGTACAGAATATAGGACGTGCTGGAGTAAACACATACCGTACGGTCAGGTATACCTGTATCACATCGTAGTACACACATACCGTACGGTCAGGTATACCTGTATCACATCGTAGTACACACATACCATACGGTCAGGTATACCTGTATCACATCGTAGTAAACACATACTGTACGGTCAGGTATACCTGTATCACATCGTAGTAAACACATACCGTACGGTCAGGTATACCTGTATCACATCGTAGTAAACACATACTGTACGGTCAGGTATACCTGTATCACATCGTAGTACACACATACCGTATGGTCAGGTATACCTGTATCACATTGTAGTAAACACATACCGTACGGTCAGGTATACCTGTATCACATCATAGTAAACACATACTGTACGGTCAGGTATACCTGTATCACGTAAACACATACTGTACGGTCAGGTATACCTGTATCACATCGTAGTAAACACATACTGTACGGTCAGGTATACCTGTATCACATCGTAGTAAACACATAC